ACTTCAGCTACCTCCAGGTGCCTCCTGCTCCTCTTCTGTCTCCTCCTTGTGTCTCTATTTCCCCTGAGCAACACTGATAACACCACCAGCTGGAGAACACAAGGCTGAGGTGGCAGCAGTGGCTCTGAGAAATATATTCATTTCACTGTGTAGGAGCACAGGGGCTACAGAACAAGAAGGAGGCAGTGGTGAAGCCAATGCCTTCATAGAAACATTACCCGGATCTGCCTCTTGTAATCAGGAAAAGATGAGATGGAGCGGCAGAGGATGGAGAGGCACAGCCTCAGGTTAGATCATGATAATGACATCTAGACTTGAGCACCTCCTCAAGAAGAAGAGATGCTGAGGGATCACTGGCAACCTCTATGCCAGTGGTTCTCAACCTGTGGGTCCACAGATGTTTTTACCTACAATTCCCAGAAATCCCAATCAGTTTACCAGCTGTTAGGATTGCTGGGAGTTGAAGACCAAAACTTCTGGGGACCCACAGATTGAGAACCACTACTCTATGCCTTGGGTATCATGTGAGGATGAGTGGAGAGGAAGGGAAGGCAGAAATGTTAAGTCTCTTTTGCTCAGTGTTGTTGTTAGCCAAGAAAGAACAAGGGAAGGAGCTTTTCAGGCAAAGGTATAGGCACTCACAGCAACATGTTCTGGCTCAACAAGACAGCATGTTAAATCTGGTTGGGAGGGGGCACTAAGAAGTTCATAGAGGTTTATTTAATTTCATGGGGATCCTGTTCCCCTAATTCAGGGGTAGGGAACCTTCGGCCCTCCAGGTGTGGTGGACTTCAACTCCCACAATTCCTTGAGGCTCGGCATTCGCCCCAAAGGCTTACACGAGCCTCAAGGAATTGTGGGAGTTGAAGTCCACCACACCTGGAGGGCCGAAGGTTCCCTACCCCTGCCCTAATCCCTGCAAAAGTGGAAGGCTGACTTGCCACCTCGTCAGACAGCTGTCAGCAGAAGGAGGTAGGTGGTGGTCTACTTCACTGCAAGGTGTGAGGAATCTGGTGCTCATGCCTCACATTGCTTGCCTCGCTGGGAGAGTGAACACATGGGGGAAAGTGTAGAGTGCATGTGATGCATGCGGCTTCCCCTCATAGAATGGGTGACATTGGAAGCCTGCTGAGGTGGCACTCTGGTTCCATCCCTCTGCACCCACGGAACCAGCACAACGTCATTTGATAGGAGCTGGCCAGCTCCATTGGTGGCCAGGGCTAGATCAGTCAAATCTAGCCCCCTATGATGAGATCATAACATACACCATGGCTGCATTGGCTCTGCTGCTCATTATTGCTATATTTGAGGATGAAGATGGGGCTGAAGGAGAGCTATAAAGAGATAGATCATAAGCCTCCAGTGTGAGGTGCTTGGGAAACTAAGGACCCATTTACACCACACAATTATAGTACTATGATTCTTCTTGAACTGCTGTTGGTATGATCCTGTGAAATCTTGGGATTTGCAGTTTAGGAGGAAATACTAAGAAATCTCAGCAAGAGATCTCTATAGCCTTAACAAACTAAAAATCCCAGGATTCTATAGGCAATTGCAGTTTACACAAAATCATAGAACTAATAGTGTGATATGAATGGCTCTGAGAACAGAAAATCATCACTAGTGACTCCATTTGGAAAGACAACCTTGGGCCACTGCATGGGTCACCTGTGACTTTACATGTCTGCCAACAAGCCTGATGCAGGGCATAATTGGTGCAAGGATCTGGTTCAGCTGCTGTTGACCTCTGTTTTGTGGGTTGGCCCAGATAAAGCAATAACAATGAAATTTGAAAAAAAAATACGAGTGTCCAGCCTTAGGCAGGCTCTTGATGAATTTCCTAATATCAGCAGTGCCTAACTCTAATATAAATATCCTGCTTTGCTGTATGGGAGTGGAAATATACATGTTCTTGGTATCAATCTTTGGCTTGTTTTTTTTTCTTCCTCAGGGTAAATCATGAAATAATTCAAAATTCTGTCTGTGTATGTGTGTGTGCATGTGTGTGTGTGAAGTTTTAGGAAATAGTTTGGACCCTGCATCTGTAGCTGCCCTGAAATCAAAATCCATAAACTATTACCATCTATCAGTTTCTGGTTCCAGAATTCTCTGTTTAGCAGTTTTAGATATGAAAAGCTGCTTATCCAGAATACAGGTTTGCTCTAGGCTCATGTCCAAATCCATCAGAGCATTATGAACCAGATTAATGCATTCTCTATTGCAGTGGCTATTCTGATGTACAGGGTGGTGGGTTTTTGTTGTTATTTTTAAAGATTTCCCCTGACATTTTATCAATAGGAAAACAAGATAATATAGATATTTAGGGATGGATCTTAAACTAAATCAAATGTGTACAGATGTAAACTGAATGGTAAACCTGATAGAATATCTCCAAACAATGCTGGCCTCTTTATTGGTTAAACTGTTATAATCCATAATAAGGGACTCACAAGCTATATCATTCAAATGCATATGGCCACAGCACAGTGAGATAATAAAGGGGGGATTGTTGAAAATTGAGAATATCTTTGAAAAAAGAAAGTTGAATTGCCTTATTTTTAAGTTGTGTTCCTTTTTTTAACACCGCGAGTCACTTTGCATCTCAATCAAGAGATAGAAGCAGGATATAAATAAACAATAATATGATAATTTAGCCCATAAGAACAAGTTGTGTAGAGTTAGCCAACAGCAAAAGCAAGAGGTCTGACATGACATATTTCAGCTATGCATGTTTTCTCTCCACATTTTTCTTTCTTTTTGCCCATTGTTTTCCACGTGGTCATTCAAGCAGAGATCCTTCATGTAGGAATTTTCTCTTAAAAACAGGTCTCCCTAGAGAGATGTCATTGTCCTTTTAGCAAACATATATTCAAAGCTAGTGCTGTGTTCTAAAGTGGAGCTGTGCAATGTGTTACTGGCCTTGTCTTCAGCCCTTGCACTGAAAGAACACATGTCTCAAAAGGAAAACACAAGGCCCTCGGTCAGTTTTCTGTGAACTGAGTCACCTTCCTGGGAGGAGTGTGGCTAGCGTATTAGAAGTAGTGATACACATGTCATGATCACATAAAGTCAAATAATAAAATAAAATAGGCTTTCTATTGAAACTTGTGAATTATTTTTATGCTACCCATCCTGGAATCCCTAAATAGGCCAAAGTCTCACTAGGTTGACTTACAGGCAAAACATAACTATATCAAGTTCTGCTTTCATTCAATTCCTCATAAGCTTACACTCTTAAGGATTTCCTACCAACTAACTGGGAAGAGCAGAAATTCTTCATGAAACACATTCTGATCTATTTTTGATACTATTTGCTCGGTCTCCTCCCTAGCTTTTCAAACCAAATTTATCTAGGGCAAATTAGGTTCTTGGTCCAGACCATACTTTCTAGAAACAAGCCATTTCTGATTATTCAGAGCAGCCACACTCCATTTGGGTCAAGAATTCTGAAAGGAAAATTCAGCAAGTACAGTTTTTCTTCTTTAAAATCTATCACTGCTATAAATAGAATTGACATACATATATAACCGCTATAACTTGCCCATCTTGTAGTAATCTCCAGTTTGGGTACAAGATTTCCTCTTGTCTTCTCAGACCTCTAAAGGAATGGGGAGTCTGTAATTAATGGAATACAACTCCTCTTCTGCATTTCACATAGTCGTGCTCAGCTGGAGTTGAGACTCAAGCTAGCATTCCTCTGTCATGGGCAGAAAAGTGAGGGAAAATCTAGGTAAAGTCTAATCTCCAGAAATGAAGAAAGGAGATCATAACATTGGTTGAGGTGACAGAATCAGCCACTTTTTAGTCCAAGAAAAATAACAAAATGAAAGCCCTGGAGTCACCTCTTTGGCTAGTATCTGGATGTTTAGTCTTTGAATTACAAAGGAAAGGATTGATATGACCTCAAGAAAGAGTGGAAGAGAAGCATAGGTAAGGTCACTGTCTCCAGTTTTGTCAGCTTTCCTCACCCAGATCAAAAGGCCTGAGGGAAAAGAAATACCTGTCAATATATACTATAAAGGCTGGTTAAGCTTCCTTCAGCTGTCCAAATTTGGATTTCAAAGACTCTGATTAGCTTTTCTTACTAGGGGAATTCCTCCCATGCCCTCACAAACATACACAGAACGTTTGTCTTTTCCAGTCCTTGACAGTTTATCTGAAATGCATCTCCTTACATGGACTGCATAGCTATTCTGGGCAAAGGCCAAAAAATACTAATAGGGACAATCTTCTTCCAAAAGTAATGGCAGAGCATGATATGTCAAAATGTTTGCCTCCAGTTTTACTCCCCTTGCTAATGCCACCCCATGGTACGGAGTGGTATGGATGTAAAAAAAATGTTTTAACTGGGGGAATTGCACTTCCAGAATAAGGCATTTGTAAATGGGATTTTATGGCCCATTTTAATGAGAGCCCATCATGTGATAACTATGGCTATCATGTCATTATTTGAAAAATAATTGCTGTGAATAGAAGTCTGTTATTATAATCATCTACTATCTAATAATGGATGAAAAGAAAGATTACAACGAGTGCAATTATTTTTATATAAAACCATTAAGCCTTGCCAAAACTGCTATTCTCCCACATATAGATAGCAGCAATGTGCCATTGTTGTAACAATGTGTAAGAAATTCACATCATGAGGAAAGAAATGGCTAGGATCAGCCCAAAGAAGGAACAGGAGAGGAGTTCACAAAATTAAGGTTTTGTTGTTTTCTGAGAGAACACTACCTCAACCCTTTCATTTTTAAGTTGTTACTTTTGCATCTGTTACACAAAACCATCTTGCTAAAGTCTAGAATATTTTTTTTTTGCAATGGCAGTGGTGTGCACTGAGGGATGTGCACTTCATGCTGTCTCATACTCTAGGCATTTCACATACACATCCAATTTTACTTGGTTAGCTAGGGTCCTCCTTGGGGAATAGGAACTCCTTTCAGATACATTTCTTCTCTTGTCCCCATTCTCTTCCCCATGATCCATCCTGTCACCATTAGATGATGCAACACCGCATCACCACTTGACTTCGAGACCTGCCACGACGACAAAAATTGGTGAGCTCCCCCTCCTATTCTGAACTGCTTTGACCACTGGCTATGAGGGAATGGAGAGTGGGGTCTAGGCTCTGGCTTGCTATATGATGGCGTTTGGCATTGATAAGAGTAGAGTAATGAAAGAAAGTGGTGAGTGTGCAGGGATGAAGGGCAGGGAGGTGGGCAGGTGTGAGAAGCTGTGAGAAGAGCTAGGTTGAATGAACCAAAATTGGTGCAATCTGCTTTGCTTTCAAAAACATAGCCAGTGTAATTCCATGTTCGATATCCATTTGCATTTAGCATACTTCGAGAGCTCAAACTTAGGCAAATAATATAAAATAAGGCTAGGGTGAGTTCACATTACTGGGGTTTATTGTGTGAAAATTGTAGCTGTCATATAATTAATTTAATATGTAAAAATGTGGTACATATTTCCTCATCTTGACAGTGTCCTTTTGATGATGGTTGAGGGACAAGAGAGAAGTGGGCATTACCCTTTAAACTAATGGTGTGAGCTCATCTTTTATTGTATTTTGGAAAAAGAACTAATACAAATTTGTGGGGTCCATGCAGTCTTCCTGCTTTCATTGAACAAGAGTCAGGAAACAACATTTTGATCTCAAGGAACTCAGTTAATTTGACCATATTGCTTTCAGTAGCTCATGGGAAGTAGGTATCAAAAGCAGGCAGTCATGGACGAAATCTGCTTCCCTAAAAATATACCCCATTTTCTCACACTACATGAGAAGTGGGGAAAGTGAAATCTATTAGATACATTCACCCTCTAAATCTGCAGTTGTGATCTGGAAAGGTGCTAACCCCCCTCATAATATTGTCACTTTCACCATAGCCTCCCCTCCCCCTCCATGATAAGCTATATTTTTTTCATTAGCAGAAGTGACTTCCACTCATTTCTTGTTTTGATCAAGAACTTTTCCTGGGAACAGAAGAAGGGGACAAAAACATGGCAAAATAATTAATCCATCCTCTGTAGAAGGCACAGGCAGTAAGCAAAAAAATACCTCCTCAAATTTGAGGGGAGGGTGAAGTTATAAAGGGTATGACCCTCTAAGACCTGATGGCAGGTACATGCTCCTCTTAACCTTTGCCCCCTTGTCCTAAAGAAAGAGAACAGGTTTAGAAGAAATTCTGTGTAACAGTGAGATTTACATTGGGTCTTTAGTGGGGATCTGGTTTAATATCCTCAGACCCCATCTTAAAATGGCCTTCAAGGTGGACAACTTGCTATTGGCCAAGGCTGGGTGCATCATCTGTTGGTAAACCTGAATCTGAGAATTGACACTTCACATTGAGGTGGGTGTAGGGGGTAACAGGCAGGGGTCTACTAGAACATTCCCTCCTTTTCAATTGTTTATGTGGTGGAACCTTTTTGAATGGTGTAATATCCCACCTGATGTCTGAAGTCATATATCCAAGACACAGCTGTGTTTTGTGGACAAAAATGAGCACTGTAGATTTACTTGTGTGCAATAATTCATTATGAATTTTTCTTTTCCACAGCAGAGATCATCCAATAATAGTGTTGATTTCAAATATTTATTATAACTAGATTCTGATTTTTTTCATCCTTAAGTGTAGCTATTATAGGTTTTAAGGAGTCATACATATGTTCATCTCTTGACACATATCTGTGTTTTTCATCCTTTGCCAAATCATAGGACAGGATTTAATTTCTGCTCTGTCCATTCAAGGATCCAGGTTTTTGTTTTGTGGGATTTTTTCTTTACATTCTGGAGTAACTAAAATCTAGGGAGGTTTTGATATTTGGATAAATTCTTTCTCAAGTTCCAAATTAATGCAGCACCTATTTTCAGACAAGTAGTGAGTTGGATGGAAAAATTTGGAGTGAAATAAGATTTTGGGCAAAAAATCTCCTGAATGCAATTCTGTTTATCAAGAAGATCTGGATCCATTGTTTTGTTGCTCAGGCTTATCATGTGTGTAACACATCAAAACAGTTATTTATAGTACTGCATTCCTACCATTCAACCACCACAATTGCCACCACCACTGTCATCAGGAAACTTGTTCTGATCTTCAGTCCATTTCAACCAGGACTCAACATAAAAGGGATTTGAAAAAGCAGAATTATTCCTGGCAATAATGTTGTTCACCCCCTTCACTTAGGACGACAGTTAACGATCTTCAACACCCAGGCGCAAATAGCCATTGGAGGAAAAGACAGAGGGCGTCTCTTCCAAGGCCAGCTCTCCGGTCTCTATTATAATGGTCTAAAAGTACTGAACATGGCAGCAGAGAACAACCCCAACATCAAGATCAATGGAAGCGTCCGGCTCGTTGGAGAAGTGCCATCCATCTTGGGAACAGCGCCTACAACATCCATGCCACCAGAGATGTCTACCACTGTCATGGAGACCACCACTACTATGGCCACTACCACAACTCGAAAAAACCGTTCCACACCCACCATTCAGGTGAGTCATTTGATTTGTACATACCCTGATTTTATTTTCTTTATTCTTTGCAATATTTGTGGTTTTTAAAGTTTCAAACAGCCATAAAATCCAGTCGAGAGTTTGACCTGTTTTAGATTTGATATGTTTTCTTCTTATTGTGGCTATAAAATAGCAGGGACAGTATTTTGGGATATCTCTGAGGACTCCACTTTATGTTTATATGTATGGTGGACAACTGGAGTTGAAGTGTGTAATTTGTGAAGGACCAGGATTGTATATCCTAAAAAGGCCAGTAATGGCAATGCTGATTATTGCTTTTCAAGTGTGTTTCTTGATTATTAGTTAAGATTTTGTCAGAGAGAATTGCAGTGTTCAAGGTGAGTTGTTCTTGAACCAAGCTTTAGACAAACTAACATTAAAGTGGGAATTGTCAGACAGTTGCTTCAAAATTCAAGGATCATTCAATCAGATGCTTTTGTAATGCGTAATGGCCCTTATTGTCAGGCAAGCATGCATTTATGTTCTTACTATAGCCTCATTAAGCCTGTAAGAGGCTACACAGATTTTCAGTGTGTCTTTTAAATAATAATGGTTGAGTAATTACTTATTTTAAATTGCTATATCTTGCTTTTCCAGTGCAGTATACATTAAACTCCTAAAACAATGAAGCAAGCAGTGTGACTCCCTTCATCCAACATATCTAGGAAAGCTCTAAAGCTTGGTTTTAATGGAAAAAAATAGATGTCCTCTTAAATGCAGAGTGTTAAGACGCCACCAGTAGAGGTTAATGGCTTTGATGTGAATGGAGTGCTGAATTTGAAATTTAAAGGAGACATCAAAAGTGATGAACACATTTTGGGAAATACCCCCAGTCTTCAGGAACAAGAGGTTCCAGAGGTGACAGCAGGGGTGGGGGTGGGGAATGAGCACCACAGAACAGGGTTTCCCATATTTTGTCACCTTATGAATTCTTGGAAGTACAAAGTAAAGGGTCTTTGTGGAACATTTCTATTCTTGAGCTGAATTATAGAAAGAATTTTAGGAACCTGCTCCCAAATCCATGTAGATTTTTATATCTTAGAACAAGCATTTTGAATTCTGAATAGAAGTAAATAGGCAATTAAACTAAGTGAAAGAAAATAGTAGCAGGGGGTAGGTAAACATTCTCCAGAAACATTTTTTTTCAAAACATCCCTGCAGGGAGGACTGGAACCACCACAGAGTGGCGTATCTAACCATAGTTGATGGTATTCAATGCCTCTGAGAAATGCTGCAGAATCTATAGGGACATATTCCTGCTGTCTAATTCCCAGAGGCACTTATCAGTCTCAATGCCATAATCAGAACAGATGCTATTAGGGCAATAAATCTGCTTAGGGTTTAGTCTGAACTTTAGAAGTACTTTAAGAAATGTATCCAATATGCTAAATAATAAATAAATAATGTGCTTCACAAAATAGATTTAGTACCTTCAATAGCTCTTTCTAAAGTTCAGCCTAAAAGCTACAGAAGATTCACCCACCTGTTCACATGGGAACCAGACTCTCCCTATTTGTGTCCATAATATACACTGACACTTACAGAAGTGGTGCAGCCTATTTCCCTCTGGGATGCAGTTTAGGATGCAACCTATTTCCCTCTGGGAGATTGTCATCATGAGTGTCTACGCCACTCTGCTTGCCATACCTATAGCTCTTTTGCGTAATGAAAACCTAGGTGGCTGTGAATCAGCTCAAATTATTGTTATTATTAGCCCTAAATTACTGCTAACTTCAAATGAGTCTGCATTTTATAAAGTCTTCAGGCAGAGTCATCCACATCTAATTTGGGTTGTGAATCACTGTGAAAGATTTGGAATGTCTTTCCTTATTTGGATATTCTACATGGTCATGAAAAATAAAATCATAGGCTGGATTCTGCTCTTAGTTCATAATTTAATCAAACTCTGTAAAATTTTATTAAGCTCCTTCCAATTATATCAGTACCACCCAACCAAGTTGATTCCATTTAGTGAAAGAGCCCCATCCCGATGTTTTCTTGGAGGTTTTAGCATCCTCTACATGGGGACTTGCTAAACCTAAGACAGTCATTATGTTCTTTAAAAAGCATCGGGATGATTTAATAAAGTGTAGACTGGTCTCTAAAAACATGATTAGAGCAATGATTTCCTGGGTGCACCCATGCTATAATGAATGGTCTCATCTTGACTTATATTAAAGCAATAACTCTTAATACTTCACTCTTTCCCACTGAAAGAAAGATAAAAGTCAATATGCACTTCCATTACAATTCTCTGTTTGTCAAGAGCAGGTCAGTTTATTGCTGTCATAGAGCACAATAATTCTTTCTTCCATTCATTCACCCTCTGTTGCCTGTTTTTGGTCAAAAGATATTTAGCCACTTGTGCTCCTTCTACTTTTATCAATTTTATACTAATCTATGCAATGCTTTTGAGATGACAATTTAAAAAACCAGTAGAGTTGTTCAGCTCTATCTGCACAACCTGTATTGTGTGTAGGTTCAGCATCATAAAGAAGCATACTTGGGGAGCTGCTAGCACCCAGGGAGGGCCAATCTCTGAGACCTATGTCGTGCTCCATTTTTAAAATTTACAGAGGATATCTCCATCTTTATTTCTCTTGGCATTCTAGTGCTAAGTGGATTTGAGTTCCAATTTGGGATTTTATGCCAGGACTCTGGAGGTTAATATTTGTTAGTGATGTTGGAGAGGTGACTTTTATTATCCTTTTGACAGACCAGCCACCCCTACATGTGTGCATACATACACACAAACTAAAGATGGAGATACTATTTGGGGGAAAATGTTTATCAATGATCAGTAATATGTTTCTTGAGTATAAAAAAATCTGATGAGAAGTCCTGGACACTACAGGAGGGGAATTCAGCTGTTCATCTGTTTTGTGAAGATGGAGAAATAATGTGAACCTTTTTCAGATCAGGATAATCCAAATTGAACTTTGCTATGTACCTCTTCCACTGCCAATGAGTGTATGCTTCAGCCAAGTATATATAGACCCTTTCCCTTGGCCAATAACTATTTATAAGGATTCATGGGAATCCCATTGATTCTTCTCTATATAGCACAAGGAGGTTAGGATAGGGAGGGTTTATGGAGACATAACAATCATGAATTTCCTCCATAACCCCTTCATATGTCATAACTTTCCCATCAAGAGATTGCAACATATGTAGAAACAGGGCAACGTATAAATATGAAATAATTCTTCCACCTAAAATATGTAAACAGAGCACATGAGAATGTTAAACAAGGCTTTGGGCTGCCTTAGCTTGCACCTAATGAGAGATTGTTTTTTGGTTTCTTCTTCTTCTTAATATATTTAATATTTTAAATGAAATGGTAATTTAGGCTCCTTTGGTTGAAATAATACCTAGCTGATTCTTTGGAGACAATTAAGAATGTCAATAAATACCTGATAATTCCTTGTTTCATTGAATCATTAAATGGATCTCTTCATGCTTCTGACAGGCTAACAGCTCTGTGATCAGGTTTAGCTTAAGTGGATTGTATTAAAAAAAACTTCCAATGATATACAACCATAATCTATTTGTAACTACAGTGTGAGGGACCATTCTTTGCTGATAACTGTTGCGGTCTTCTAAATTAGAAAGCCTGTGCATGGTTATGCCAAGAGAGATTAGTGTAACAAAAATTGTTTTATCTACCTGGGATTTCATGACTTATGTACACTATTTAATGAAACACGCCTGTATCAGAATGACTAATAGAGCTGCTTGCTGACCCTGAGAAAAAGTGCTGCTTTGACCTCTTCACACATGAGTTTGTTCTGCATTTGAGCTCTGGTGTTTTCAGAAATGGCATGTGTTGCCTTAAATTACTCTCACAGACCTCGGCCCCGACACACAAGATTCGCCTGTATTAACAATACCCTCATTGGGAATTCCACTTTGCCTCAATGCTATGCATTGAACACCGAGGCATTTGACTGCCATGCACTTAGACACTTAAACACTTTTACTTTTAGCTCCAGAATGACATGGGGTGCAGGCTGGGTCTTGACTAGGGCCATAATGCATCCCAATGAGGGAGGGATATTTTTCCTCAGGCAACATCTCAACAGAAGTCTTGTTTCTTTAGCTGTGGGTTTTGAACTTTGCTTGACCAGCTTTCTTAAGTAGCCAAAGATCTTGCCTAATTGGCCATGCCTGAGGTTGATAAAACAACAGATGCACTTCTCAGTTTTAGTTACGTGTTTAGTCTGCTTCTCCTCTGAAAAATACTTAAAGAAGAAAAGTAACAACAATCATAACAATGGTTTCCTGGGCAACATTCCTCCCCCCCCCCTCCTCTTCCTCATCCTCATTGTTATACTATTTATGTATTTATTTCTCAAGTTAAATACCACTGCAGTGCAAAGGTATTGATTATATTTGAGCTGAACTATTTATTACAAATCAATCCATAAAGAGGATTTGCCAATGTCACTAAGCCTGCAATGCCCTAAATCCAAAAGCAAAGTCCATTTTTAAAAAAATAACATTGTCCACCAAAATCAAGAAATGGTCAAACAAAACTGAACAAATGCAACATAGAATCAAATCAGTTGTAACTTTGTTGAGTCAAACTGTAAATCAAGCAACTCAGATCAGAACTGGAGTTTCCTGCCACCACCACCATTAGATTGCAGCATACTTAGTGAATAATTTAGAATATATGCAAAATTATATAAGTGGAAGAAAGATTCCCATCTTTTCTCCTTTAAGCCTCCTGTATCGCCTAGAAGAGTCACTGGCAAACTTCAACCCTCCAGATGTTTTAGACTTCAACTCCCACAATTCCTAACAACCAGTAGGCTGTTAGAAATCATGGGGGTTGAAGTCCAAAACACCTGGAAGGCTGATGTTTGCCCATGCCTGGCCTTAAAGCATCTCCAAATAAATTATTGAACATTGTGGACTGTGCCTTAAAATCTGCTGGAGGATTCTTGCACTGCTTTTATAAGTTCAACCTGACAGAC